ACTTCAGTCTTTGTATGACTGATCCAACAAAAGATTTCTGATGCCTATTAGAGGAGTGATTTAAGAAAGAAGACACTGGAGTCGACATCAAAATCAATTCTCATAATCCCTTTCTAGCCTGCATTAGATTTCTGAAAGAAATGGTTATGAACTGCATATGGTGGGAGGGCAAAGATATTGTGATCCTTAGCTGCCAGATTTTGTAGACATTTTGACAAATGTAATAAAAATAAAATAATATATTTACTAGAAAATGGATAGAATTGATTTAGAACAACTGCTAGAATACATATAATCAACGTTTGTAAAATGTTGGGGAAAATTGCATTTAGACATTCAAGATACCACCAGAAGAAAATGGCTTAGTATGTTATAAAGAAGGGCTTTATGTTTTGAAGTTTAATTCTTTACAATTGCCTAGATGAAACTAGCAATTTGTCTTAAATTAACTTTCATAAAAACAGTAATACCAAAAATTAACCTCTAATTCTGCTAATTAAAAGAATGTCATGTTTCAATAGAAGAGAATGCCATTTTTGCCTAACCAGGATTCAATAGATTTTGTCCAATGTATTTATGTTTCTATTAACTGCAAAGGTTAATCACTGAGTTTCTGACCCAAAATAATAGGCACAATCTAACATATGCAAATATTTTAACTATTCTTAACCATTATATCCATTCCCTGGTCTGTGTTGCCAGACATATACAATCATTTTTTCAGGCTGATGTTTTTTGAATCATGCAGATTTTCCGGTCTTTTTTTTCAATAGTCCTTTTAATATAAAATTATTGGAAAACCAGCAGGACAAAATCTCCCTCATGACGCAAAAGTGCTATATTATCTGAGAGAGTGCTGATATAAGAAATGGAATTTGTATTAAACTTATTAAAAGCACCAAAATATGCTATAATTCAACTGAAAAACTGCAAAGTATTATCAGTGCTGCCTGATTTGAAAGACAGGCAACAGCTTGATTTGATAATACATAATGGCATACAAGAAAATAAGTTTATACACAAATGGGTTAAACTCCCATTACTATTATCAATACTGTAAAAATAGCAAAATAAACTGAGTGTTATTTTATACATTAGTTTCATTTTGTCTTTTATGATAACTAAAAAACTATATTCACCATTCAGTAGAAATCTACTAAAAGCAATATTACTGGAAAGTAGTTGATATGCAAATTTACAACCAGAGGTTTGAAAGTGGGATAAATAAGTCATACTTAAGTCCTACTGAAATGAATGTAACATATATTCACCTCAGTTTAATTTACTAGTTTGCAGTGAAAAGACAACCCACTGCTGAAGATTGTGTTGAACTTCATAGATAGCCTAAATTCAGTTTGAAGACATATCTGAAAAAATTTGAGATAAATAAACTCTGTTTTTATTTTTAAAAATGACAATTTAGCATATATCTAATTTTAGGATTACAAACTAATTCCTTTTTTTAGGGCTTGGGTAGAAAATGGTATTAATACACTAGATCAGTGGTGGCAAAGCTATGGCAAGTGTACCAGAGGTGGCACTTAGAGATGTGTCGTGCCCCGGAGATGGCGAGGGACTGGCCCCCGCCACCCTAGCCCTGCCTACCCAATCTGCCATGACCACTGAAGCCACGCCCACCTGGCACCTGTTGATAAATAAGTGGGTTTTGGGTTGCAGTTTGGGCACTGGGTCTCTAAAAGGTTCGCCATCACTGCACTAGATTCTTCAAAATACTTCATATATTGCAAAAACTAGGACTTCCAACCAAGTTAAACATATTCTGATTTCTCAATTTGGATCTGATGAAATAGTAGCTTCTGACTCTTTCAAATTATTAAATTGGAAAATGTTTTGGAGGAGTTTAGATCTACATACATTTGCTTTCATAGAAGCAAAAGAATAATACCATTGCATTAATATTCTTCAGCTATTTATAAAGTTGAATTATTTGATTTGATTAGATGACTACATTGTTTTTAACATGAATTTTCTGTAGTTATTAAATGTGGCTATATAAATGTGATTAATAAATAAATGAATTCACTTTCTGCTTCTGAATTGGGCATGAATATAATAGATTATTAATATGATTCCAAACGGGCAAGATTTACTTTCTTTTTCAAAAATGGATTTGATTTTACATATCTATTGTAATACATATGTGTGTTTTGTTTTGTGTGTATGTATACTTAATCGTATATTATAGAAGCAAAAAAAATAAGAATTTTTTAAAAATAATCTTTGAGGAAGGGCAAAGTTCAGTACATGAGAAAAAGTGCTTTTCTTCTTCAGCAAAGGGTCTGAGATTCTATTCATGTTGCTGGGAAATAAAACAGTTGATTTAGAATGCCCTTTAAACATGGGATCATGTAGCAATATTTCCAGAGGTAATTTTTCAAGGAGTGCTAGGACAACTGTATGACTATAGTGAAGAAAAAGAAAAAACTCTTAGCTACTAGAAAAATTCCCAATCAACACCAAAATTACCATATTTCTTCTACAGATCTGGAAATGATACACTGTCTAGCAAAAGGATTGGGGAATATTATATGGCTTGACAAACATAGGTATTTTTATACTCATCATGGATAACACATTTTATACTCATTATAAACAATTAGATCTGGACATTATAAACAATTTGATCTGGATATATTCTGCATAACCAGATATATTGTCTATGAAATAAAGAGCAGATATAATATAGAGAAAGGGAAATAGAGGGATTAATTTAGCCTGCTGTGGTTTGAATTCCCTATAGACCTGGCAAACTAAAAAGAGTGAACTCAAAATTTTAAAGCAGGTATGCAGTACAAATGAATTTTAAATAATCCTAGCTTATGGGTATAGGGTAAAGATCTCTCTTAGCAAAGTAACCCAAACAGCAAAAGTTTTTTTAATGGCTGTAAACATTTCTAGGAAGAAAAAAAAATCCTTTTATGTGTTCTAATCAGGTCTTTTTCAAAAATTCTGAACACAGCTGTCTGCTTCACTGTCTCTCCAATGACGCCAGATGCCCAGTTCATCAAGGAAATGCAGAAAAACAATGATTTGAAAGCAATTAGAAGTACCGAGACTCATATTAAAATGTGATAACACCATTCTAGTGGGAATTCAAGGCACCACTGCATTTTTGACGTTTCTGCATTGCCAGAGATGAACATGTGTTAGAAATGGAGTTCCCCCTCCCCATGACACTGAATGAGGATGAGTGGCTATCATGTGGGAATTTTATTTCTGAAGCCAATGAACGAAATTAAGTTAATATAAGGCATTTTTAAAAATATTCCATGTATTCAGCTTTATTTTTAACAAGAAAACAGCTTTACCTTAACCATATTTTTTTTATGAACATGAAGCAAATATTAACCAAACAAGTTCCATTGTGAGATGGGAGGCAGAGAACATCACATTCATCAACATGCGAGTCTCGTGTGTTATTCTTACACTTTTTCCATGTAAAAGTGTACAGCAGAATGAATACTGCTTTGTCCAGTCTCTGGCATGTCTTATGCTACTGCAAATTGACTGATATTAGGATTAGAGACATCTACTTTAGAAGCACTCATGCTCTCATACAGTGATTTTATAAACTTATTTTCATACAAGGAGCAATTTATGCAAAAATGCCTCTCACATTGAAAAGCAGATCATTATAGATAGTCCTCAACTTACAATCATTTTTTAGTGACTATTCAAAGTCACAATAGCACTGAAAAAGTGACATGATCGTTTTCCACACTTACAACTATTGCAGCATCCCCATGGCCATATGATCAGAACTTGGATGCTTGGGAACTGCTTCATATTTATGAAGGTTGCGTGTCCCAGGGTCATGCAATCACTTTTTGTGACCTTCTGACAAGCAAAGTCAATGGGAAAGCCAGATTCATTTAACAATTGTGCTACTAACTTAGCTTTTCTCACTGACAGGCCCCTGTATGTGCGAGTTGGGACTAATATTTCTAACACCATGTTTTTGAGCACAGATTTCCCTTAGGATTGTGTCCTAAGCCCGCTGATGTTCACCTTGCTGATCCATGACTATTGTGCAAGATTTGCTACCAATCATACTGTGAAGTATGAAGATGATACAACAGTGGTAATCCTTATTCAGGATGATAATGAGGGTGATTACCAGGAGGAGTTTGAGAGTTTGATGAAGTGGTGTAATAAAAATATTTTTCTTTTCTAAATCTACCAAGTAAGGAACCATGCTGAACCGGTCAAGGCATTCTAACACCACAAATTCCATTTGATTTCCTAAATACAAGTATACAAACATGAAACATACATGGATCTGTAGCACTTTAGTATAAACTATACTGAGAATGACTGGACACTAAATACATTTTATTATTTTTTTCAAATTGTAAAAAATTATAGCTAACATTTTAAAAAGCAGTTTCTAGTATTACATATAAATTTAAAAGTTTTAAAAAGAAACTTATCTTTTTATATTTCAAAATTACCCTGCCCCCAATGCCATAAAGTAAGGAGGAAAAAAGTGAGAATCACATATTATATTACCTAGAAGAAAAGAAAAATATATCAAAGGAAAAATATCCCTAGGAAATAGGGAAAAAAGATAGATGTCAAAGAAAATGATGCAAAACAGACAGCAAGATTTTTATTTTAAAAAATTGATTCTCTAGACCGGTACCGGGCCGCGGTATGCCAGCAATTGTTCCACACAAACAAGCAAGCCCCCTCCATGGGATGCAGGCAGCACACAAAATCACACCCTTTCTGGTCTGCGGAAAAACCTCTCTCAACAGAATTAGTCCCTGGTGCCCAAAAGGTTGGGGATCTTTGCTCTATATACTAGTTTAGCTTTTTTTTCTAACCAGTTTCAAAGACATGAATAAAACTACATGGAAATCAAGCAAGCTGCCAAAATGTAGAAGATCTATGTCCATAATATATTATCACTCTGCAAACAGAATGTTAGTCTACATCATCATCTACTTTCTTGATAAAAAAATTAAATGTACACTCACCTCCTGGTAGGAATCCCCACTGATACCTAAACAAAACAAAATGACAAAGACCTGTTGAAAAACAGAATCTACACAAATGTTTGTATACATAGTTTGTATTTTCTATTGACTGTTCTGTTATTTCTAGACATTTCAACAGATTGTATATTAGACAGTTTTTTAAGTTCTATTTTGTACGCATTTATCTGGAATCAATATTTCTATTATTCTTGCTTTTATTTTACTATTTTTAGTAAAACTAATTCTAAAAAAATAAAATTAGTCAAACTTGATCAAACAAATGGAGGTTTTTAAAATGATCAGCTTAAATAGCATGGTTATACAGGTAATCCTCAATTTAAAATCTTTCATTTAGTGACCATTCAAAGTGCACTAAAAAAATGCACTTACGACTATTGCAGCATCCCCACGATCACATAATCAAAATTTGGACACTTGGCAATTGGCCAATATTTATTCATGTTGCATTGTCACAATGTCATGTGACCATCTTTTTCAATCTATTGACAAGCAAATTTAATGGGGAAGCCAGATTCACTTTACAACCATGTTATTAATTTAACAATTGCAGTGACTCATTTAATAACTGTGGCAAAAAAGGTCATAAAATGGGACAAAATTCACTTAACAATTGTCCCACTTTGCAACCAGAATTGTAGTCGTTAATTCTCTGTTGGTCCTTCAGAATTTCTTTCAAGACCAATTTTTTTCAAACAACCTTTTCCTGATATGAATATTGCATTTTGATTTTTATTTGCAGTTTATTTCATATGATTATTTTTCTTTTTTGTTGTAGTTTTATTCCTACTATTGTAATTTATATCTATTCTATGTAAACTTTTGAAAGTATTTTTATTGTGGCAGCAATAAAATGATACTTTAATATTAACTTTAATAAATATTATTAAATATTAAACTGTAATAAATGATACATTCTTTTTAATTTTCTTTTACTTATATTCCACACCATTCCTAGAATATTGAGCAGATAAGAATAGGATAAAACATAAAAATATAAAACCAGAAAATAGGAATATATACCTTATTATCTGTGATGTTATATTTTTATATGCATTTTGTGTGTGTTTTTTAAAATCCTATAGAAAAAAACAGAACTTGCTAACACAAGGTTCCAACATAACATAATTTAGTATTATCTCATATAACGGTATGTATTTTTGACATTTTAAAATATGATACTCTATTAATAATGGAGTGTACTGCATACAGTCATAATTTGAGATAAGAGAGTTGAATACTGGTCACAAAATTTCTGAATATTGCTTTGAAGATATTTGCCCCCCATTACAAATCCAGATGCTTCATGGATTGCACTGATAATGACCCAGCAACTAAGTCAAAATGTGGTCTGTCTAATTTTTGTCTTAGTACAACATGTAAATTCAGCTAATTTTAATAGTTAGTAAGCCATGATGAAACAAACTATGATTTAATACAATTATGAAAGGCACTGAGGACAAAAGTTTTTTAGGTTTGCAGTTCCTAAACTTTAATATTCAGCATGCCTAATTATAGCTGCCAATCAAATCTTTTTTTAAAAAATAGAGAATGTGAAATTGCAAGCACAATTTAAGAAAAGAGCAAGCAGAGCTGAGGGGCACAGTAAAATGCAATATCAGTTTAGAGTCTTTGCAGTGTCAAGCAAAGACCTCCTTGAATTCCATTGGCCTATCTAGCACCAATTTAGTGGTCGACCAGATTCTTGTGTATAGGCTTCAATAGTTTGTGTTGCAAACTACATAAATGGTTCTGATTCTTTTACACAATGATGAATTTAATAATTTTATCAATTGAAAGTAGACCTCCTTTCTTTGCAATCTGTAACAAAACTTTTTTTCTTACCGACTTATTAAATTGCTCACTTGCAGTTCCCCATTTGTTCAAATTATTTTTTCCCTCAGTGTGAGGATTCTTTCTTTCTTCTATACTGAATGGTTTTTAATCAGAAAGAGTAATTCTAATGAATTCGTGTCTTCTTTTCTTGAGAGGGATGCTTAATCTCTCTTGAATTTGTCTTCTTCATAACATTTATCATGCTAGGTGCCAAAAATGATTTTCTGTCCCTTTCAATTTCAGTTTGACCAAAAGGATTGGTATATCTGTCCCTAACCCGTCATTTTTAATACAATACATTGGATCATTTTTCAAAAGTAAATCTGAGTTACAGTATACATATTAGAGTAGCCAAGAAATTTTTTCAGTAGATCACTTCTGGGATGAGCAGGTTCTATGCAGACACTCACCATGAAATCAATTGGTTTTACCACTTCACTTATAAATAGATACATCATGGTATCAAGAATATTTCATTTTTCCACCCACTAATTTTATAATGCATATCCTGATTTTGTCTTTAGTCTAACATTTTATCTTCATCATTTCCACTCCTGCTCTCTTTTTGGACGGAAAGCTTGAGGGTAGGGCTTGCCTCTGTTTTATTAATCAGAACGATCTGAAAAGTGGAATAAACACACAGAGGAGGAGAAAAAAGAAGGGAAAAGGGGAAATTGTACAGGTATTTATGAAATGTTTTCCAAGAATTATGGTCCAAACTGTAAGTGATATGTACATGATTTTTCCTTGAGTAACTATTTATTTATAAATGCTAACATAGTGAGCACAAAAGAAACACAATTAGGATTGGGGAGTTGAGGCTTTTAATCTTTATCCCTATCATGATTCCACTGGAATCAATTCTCACTACTTTTGTGTAATTAAAACTTAGTGTATTAGCAACGTATTTTGTAGCACTGGATAGAAACAAAACTAACATTACAAACTGTCAGCTGTTAAGCTCAAATCAGAACTCATTAGGAGGGTGAGTTTTTAATATATAAAATATTAACTGCTAGTCAGCCTAGATCTAATATTTTAACTTCCAATAGCAGGTTTCACAACACATGCTTAGCTTTATATTTAGAAGGTAAATACTATAATTATTTAGATTAGGATATCCACCTTTCTCCCTTGAATAGTCTGATGCTATGAATCCAATCATAAAATGAATTTATAAGTTTTTTAAAAAATTATTGTGAAACATCTAAAATATTGTATAACAGGATTTTCCAAAGCTATTGATATCGACTCCCAAGGATTGATGGGACTAGCTATTATTACTGTGATCAATGTTGCTATTCAAATTACTATTAGTTAAAATAGTATTTATTAAATTATTTTCATATAATAAATATTTGGTGGTTAATAAACAATCTGAAACTTCATGAAAGGATCAATAAGCTGGAGAGTTTAGGGATCCCTGGTATAGAACATTTTCCTGAGTAAGTGTTAACATGAAAGGAAAACTGCACAAGAATAGCATAAAACACTTTCCATGAGGTTTACATATGATACTTTCCAGCATATACTTTCCCAATGTTAGACTTGTTCATCTTCCCCCTTTGATACGGAAGATATGGATACAGACAGCATATGGTTTTTGCTCTGAGTGCAAAGATCTATCAAGCTCACAACAATATCAGTGATATAAAAACTAAGGACAAGGAGCCACCAAGGGTTTTAGAAAGTTGGCAGGTAAAGGAATCCATTTAGTAAAAACCTCTAGCCTGCAAAACTGATTCAAATAAACAAGCCATGAGACAGATCCATAAAGTCTAGGTATAATTACACTCTCCTGAACTTCTGGCCAACAGAGAACACTAAAACCAACACAGCATGTATTTAACTTAGATCTCAACAAATCTGGGTTTAACTTGTAATGTCCACCCAAGGAAAAATAAACAGGTTTACAAGCAGGAAGAGGGAAAAGGGGGCTGTGAGTACAAAGTACGAAGGAAAATTGCAGAATGCATCATTGATGCCTTTAAAAATACTTAAAGTATATTTTTGACAACATAACTGGGGTGAGATGGAGAAAATTTGAAACTAATCTGACTAGTCAGTATTCATTATGTACAGTTTCAAATATAGAAAATATTTAATAATCTATAAGAAAAAACAGATAAATAAATCCCATCATATGATTCCATCACCATGCTAGCTAATTCTGATGAAAATTACAGTCAATATTTTGGATGGAAGGAATTTATGGAAGGCTGAAATTAGCCATAGCACTATGAACTATAAAGCATTGAAATTTCCCTGACCTATAATAAAACTAGCCCTTATCTATAATCTTGTGCTGTTTACATTCTTTCAAAAAAAACATTAAGAATGTAGAAAAACATGTTTGATAGTGTATTTTTCCCATATTCAGATACAAGACAGATACTTTTCCACTAAAACTAGAGTGTAGCCCTAATAAGTTGTTTAAAAACCAAGGTCATTTTTTTAAAAAGTTATGCATCCCACCTCTGGGATTGACACATAGATACTCACTGAGTAGACATAAGTCACCCTATTCCATTCTGCAATCCAATCTTTCCTTAGTTTCCTCAACCTCTCCATTGTAGACTTTTCATGAAGACTAATGAGATTTTAAAAAGTGAACCAGAGAAGAAATAAAAGTTTGAACAACATAGCTAGGTATAGGTAGGGAGTAGAAATCTTTTCTTTCTATTCAGCTGTACATATTCTATTATACAGATTAATTTGTTCTCCTTAGCTAGACACCACTGAAGTAGAGACAAAATGACTGATCAATAAATGCACATGCACAATCTATTTCAAAGTACCGTAATAAGAAATTTCAAGAGGTTCAATCCACTCAGAGTTCATTTCCTTAAACTTAAGTATATAAGCAGTATTTCTAAGATATAAGATTTACCCTGTACCCAGAGAGTGAGTTTTCCTTCATTTCAACTGTTTCCTTGACTTTTTTCTTGTTATTTATAAGTTGAAAGTTAATTGTCTTCGATTTTTGTTACAAGTCTTACTTCTTTCTGAGCCTTTGCTTTCCTGACTTCATCTTTGCAGATTCGTGCTATCTGCTGATATTCTGCCTTAGTTATATGTCCCTCTTTCCATTTTTGTACTTGTCCTTTTTGTCTTTCAGTTTAATAGAGGGATCTTTGTGCAAGCATGCTGGTTTCTTCTTGGATTTCTTGTT